TTTTATCCCGTTTGCGCGCTCCCGGGTAACTCGTTCGCACTTTCTCTGTTTGCTGCGGTAATTAGCCGGGCTTTTGGAGTTTATATGCATTTAGTGCTGTAGAGAATTTTATTGCGAACACAATGATACCACATTTATTCTCGTAGAAGGAGAATTGAGGTGACAAAGTTGAAGAGAGTATACACTTTTCGGAATTAACGCGCGCTTCCGTGACACGCTGGGGCCCATATCGCCCTGTCGAGGGGTGGCGCGCGGGGTGAGCGAAAGTGTTAATCCTGTTAGGCATGATTTGCCATCTCTGAACCCATGCTGATGTTGTGTTACAAAGTTCTTCCACTCCAGATGATCCACTAGCTTTTTTTTTGCACATGCTTTAACATCATCTTGCATGGAATGCAAATTAGGGACACTGGCCTGTAGTTTAGTGCCTCCTGTCTATCACCCTTCTTGTATATTGGAACTATATTGGCTGTCTTCCAAATTTTTGGCAGTTCACCTGTTACCAGTGACTTGTTGTCCACCATGGAGAGTGGTAGGCACAGAGCTTCTGCTCCTTCCTTTAGAATCCATGGTGAAGTTCCATCCAGGCCTATAGCCTTTGTCACTTCCAAATCTAGCAGTGTAACACCCAGGACCTCCCCCCCCTTAGAGTTCACACCCAGGGAAGCCTTCTTCAAGAGGTCAGCCCAGATGACCTCCGGTTCATCTTGTAAATTAAAAAAATTCCTGGGTTAGTCTTAGTCAGCATAGTTTCAAGTATGTAATATTTCATGCAAGGGAATTAGACTCCAGATTCTTATGTGTAAACATCCTTGGATCTCCCCCTTTTGGCCAGGTCAGAGATCAGTCACACATGTAATTAATAACTCCTCTCTTGAAGAGTGTATGGTGAATGTCAAACAAGCTTTTTTGAAATATTTCTTGAGTGTTTGTACACTCTTGGTGGGTAGCAACAGCAGATCTCCCCCTCCTCCCTGTGGGGGTTGTATATAGAGGTCCTTTAGGGACTTAGAGAACTCAGAGTGCGGTACACCGGGATCGAGAGCGGGGCTGTGAAGAACATCTCAGCCAGGGAGAGACAGATAGCTTAAGGTAATGTGTGTGATTGAGTTTTTGTTCCATGTCCAAATTTCGTAACTTTTTGCCAGTGTTAGAGTAGGATTTATAATTGGTGATTGACATAATTTTGGTCTCAATAAACTTACGTGAAATTTCCCGTCTGTGTCAATTGTTGAATCCTCTTAGCCTTTTGGATATAGTGGCTGACAACCATTTTCATAATTAATGACAGTCATAGAAAGTACTCTCCAAGTCAAGCAATGTTTCTTGCCTCGTTGCTTGATATAGTTCAATGGTCAAAGGCAGATGGTGGCAGCGTATTTAATCCTTGTGTTAGCATTTCCTTATTGGCAGTGTATCTTTTGGTTCCGGTGTAACCATCATATGTCAGCTCACATTACCGTGTTTCATAACAGTGTTATCAAGTGCAACCGATGGGGAAGTGTTACTCAGGATAAGTAGTGTTTACATTATTAGTTTTAGTGTTCCATTATAGTGGTGCACTTTAGTAGAGTGGCGGTGTTACACTAGAGCGGTGTTACAGCAGATGCTTCCTCACCTCCCCACTGATAATCACAAACTCCTCTAGTGGTGTCTGGTTTGATGTTCCCTCCCTTATCTCTGGGACTTCTTCTTGCTCTGAGGTGAAGACTTCCTGGAATTTCTTATTGAGTTCCTCGCACACTTCCTTGTCGTTTGTAGTGAATCTTTCTGCCCCTATCCTACTTTCATTACCTGTTCCTTCACTGTTGTTTTCCTCCTGATGTGGCTATGCAGCAGTTTGGGTTGAGTCTTTGCCTTGCTCGCTATGTCATTTTCATATTGCCTCTCTACCTCTCTTCTCACCCTGACGTATTCATTCCTGGCGCTCTGGTATCTTTCTCTGCTCTCTAGTGTTCTGTTGTTTCTATAGTTTCTCCATGCCCTTTTACTTACTTGCTTTGCTAGTTTACAATTATGATTAAACCATGGGTTTCTTATCTCATTTCATTTTTTTCCTTTTGGACTGGGACAAACTTGTCTGCTGCCTCCTTACACTTCTGTGTGATGTAGTGATGTAGTCCATCATGTCTTGAACCGTCTTTCCTCTGAACTCTGTTTCCCAAGCTATTTCAGTTAGAAATTTTCTCATCTACTCATTTCTAATGTGTGTGTGCTTTGGGTTGATGTCCTTGTTTTGTGTGTTTGTGCATTAGGTTGTTGTCCTTGTTTTGTGTGTGCATTTTTTGCAAATATGAAAATATTAAAAATGTTTTCATATTGTCTGTTTCAAAATTTCACCAAATTCGTTTTTTTTCAGGATAGTTGCTGAGTGATAGAAGGATAATCTAATGGATATGGATGCATTCTTGGCCGCAAGGCAATGGGAGCTGGAGTTCAACAGATCATCGAAACTCATAATTGAAGAACTTAATAAAAAATGGCTGGCTATGAAGAGATCCTTCTTATACAAGGAGCAAGAGCTGGCAAAGCTACACAGGCAGGCCCCAATATTTGTGAGTAGAGTGAAGGCTACAAGTAAATACAGTGATGGTGCTAGCAGTAACAGTAGTAGTGGGAGTAGTAGCAGCACCAATAGTGATGTCACACAAAAGAACTGGAAAGTTAAAAAAAAAATTGAGGGATCCAGCATGTGCTTTAGTAATGAACAAACAAATAGTCCTGAAATCGTAAGAAAAAGGGGAAATCGTAAACTTACCTGCAGTGTTTGTGGTCTTATGTGTCAGCATAATGCTCACTTTCAAATTCATATGCGCACTCATACTGGTGAAAAGCCATTTAAATGTGGTTACTGTGAACGAGCTTTTGCGCAGAAATCTGACTTGACAAAACATGAGCGTATCCACACTGGTGAAAAGCCATTCAAATGTGACATATGTGACAAAGCATTTGCAATAGGTAAATCACTGCAGGATCACCGACGACAACACACTGGCGAAAGACCTTATGAGTGCACTGAATGTAAGCGAAGCTTCAGAAACTCTTCTGGGTTGAGTGAACATCGCAAAACTCACAGAAAGCAATATGAAAGAGAGACTCTTGGCAAAAGTACCAAAAAGAAGCGTGGAGTATCGCTCCTAAAGCAGCGCCACAGCTCTGATGCAGCCAGATGTAGTTTTTGTTGTAAAAACTTCTCAAACAAACATAGGTTGCTTTCTCACATCAAAATGATGCACAAGAAAGATGTCCCTTATCAGTGTGCCAAGTGCTATATAAACTATTCCTCAATGGATTCTCTGTGTCTGCATGTGAGTGCTGCTCACAGGTACACAATACCACAACAAACTATGATGGTTCCATCATATAACTGTTCAAGTTGTGTGTCAAAATTTACCTCACAAGCAGCTTTGACCGAGCACATGAAAGACACCGGCCACACTGACTTCAAATGTGATGTTTGTGATCTGGCAGTTGAAGATTTGGAGAAGCTCATTGACCATCGCTGGGACCACATAACAGAAGGCCAAGTTAAGGAGAAATGTAAAAAATTAAACAAAACGTCTCTCTGCAAAGGGCCAAGAACTGTAGGTGGGAATGGAAAAAATAATCAGATCAAAGATTATAATATAATAAAGAAGCAAAGAGAAGAATTTTTTCCAGGAAAGTTGAGAGTAATGACCATCCTACCCATTGAGGCTTTCAGAGAATTATCTGGAGATACACCGAATAAAGATGACAATAATGAGACAACCGAGAGCCAGAAATTGGATGGGACATCTGCTCTTCGGAAAATCAGGAGAATGTCCACGCACAACATGGCACATCCTGATAGCCTCTCAGTAATGACAAGCACAGAATATGTATTTCGAAGTTGTAATAAAGAGAAAAATAAACGAATGTCTCTGTTGGCTAACAAAAAACCCTCAAAACACCATGAATCATTGAACATGAAGCAAGTGCTCACATATGATAGCAGATCAACACCCCAGACACAAATGGACATATCTCCAAGTTGCCCTATTTCAATACCCCAAACAGAACTACCCGCATCAACAAGTTACCGCAGCTCGGCATCATTGCAAAAAAAGAAGGAAGAGGTAAAAACACTCCACACAACAGATGATCCTTTATTTGTAGGTGGAGGTTCACAGGGATGGGATGCTCACTGGCTGGATGAAGGCATTGACATAATTTCTATTTAAGAAATTGTGCAAGTTATTAATTCTCAGACTTAAATTAATTATTATTTATTTACAAATAAGGACATTGTCTGCTTGCATTGAATATTTTTTCTTCTCTGTAAGAAGTGGCAGAGAAAGTATGATAGTTAACGTGTGTGTGTGTTATTTCCAAAGTGTAATTACTTAAGTGTAGTTACAGGATGAGAGCTATGCTCGTGGTGTCCCGTCTTCCCAGTACTCTTTGTCATATAACACTTTGAAACTACTGACAGTTTTGGCCTCCACCACCACCTCACTTTACTTGTTCCAACCGTCTACCACTCTGCATGCAAAAGAAAAAGAAAATCTGTGTATGCACAAGCATGCATGTGTGTAATTATCTAAGTGTGTGAGTGTGTGCGTGTATGTGTAATGACCTCATCTCAGAGTCTCTTGCTAAAAGCACTCAGTAATGATACCTTGTTAGTGATTTTGTTTACATAAGAACTAATCTAATTAGTTAATATGGAAAATACTTGGTTAATACTCATCAATATATATTTTGTTTGTTTTACAGTACAGTATTTGTTTTATTTATATTAAATCAGATATATTTTATATAATTGAACTATAGTTTATATATAGTATATTGAGACCTGTTAATTTTGAAAATGGCTGCTGCTGTCTGATTATATTCCAAAATAGGTTAAGGTATTTTTATTTTTATATCTTGAAAGAGATTACATTTACCATTCATGGACTGCATTTATTTTATTAAAACAGCTGTATTGTGTTCTGTTAATAATTATGGTTTCTAAAATAAATGTGATTGCCAACACAGCTGCAGTTCTTAAAGCAGCAATTGTATATAAAACAGCTGTTTATAAAACATGTGGTCCCTAAACAGCTGTTTACAATACAGAGCAAGAAGTTGGGCCCTGTGTGGAGCAGAACATGAAGTTCCTAAAATATAGAATGGTAATAGTTTGCATTCTAATGACGTGCTAACAAAATATCCTTTACACTTGGCATCATATTTCAATCCAAACTATCCTGACGTTCTATCACTACCAATTATTTTGGTCATGAATTATAATGCACCTGACATAGGTTATCTATTTATATGCTTTCTATACTTGAGGCCATTCATGTTTCAAAATTTTAGAAAAAAAATCAATGTTTTAACTCTGGACGTTTTTGGAAACTGAAACCAAGAATAGCATAAACTTTTCAGCAAACACTGTTCCGTTGCCTACAGTTAATGATTGTTCGCACATTATGGGGGTTTTCAGAGTTAACTGAAAAATGGTACTAAGAATATTTTAGATTTTTCTGAAGCATTTTAAATCAATCTTTTGTGTCCATTTGCATATAAAAAGTACATATAATCATAAATAAATACAAGATATAAAATTATTTGAAAATCAATGTTCTTTGTCAATAAACAGAAATACAAACCAAAATTTAGTGTAAATTATTGTAAGTGCACTGCTCCTGCATCCAATGGTTTTAGGATGACATTTTGAGTGTTCTTTCATAACAACGATATTGTGGGTATTCTCTTGTTAATAACAATAAGATTGTAAGTGTTCTCATCACTAACAATAATATTATGTGTGTGTTTTCTCCTAACATGATGAACATGTAATTTTGCAGCATCAGATTGCCCCTTTTGGCTGTTCATGACTGTAATGTGTTTAATCTCGGCAATATGTCATCATGTGTTACTAAGCATACCAGGATTGCATTTGATGCAAGACATTAGTGACCATGCTTTTTATTAGTCTTTATTTTAATACACTAGCAAATTTATGTATTTACTAGATGGTGCACCTGGCAGTGTCTGGGTCTGTGTCTGTCTGTCTCTCCCCCTCTTCCATTCTCCCTCTCTCCTTCTCTCCCATTCTCCCTCTTTCTCTACCATTCTCTCTCTTTCTCTCCCATTCTCCCTCTCTTCCATTCTCACTGAGCCATGACACTGAACCACTACAGGTACTTCAGTGGTTAAGTATCGATACTACTTCAGCGCCAGAGAAAACTGTATAGTTTTCAAGAAGTGCTAGACCAACTAGACTGTGGTAAATACATGGGCCTGTGGGGTGCTCCAAACAACAGTCTGTTGAACCAAGCTCTCAAGTCAAGCCTGGCCCCCCAGGCTGGACCTATGGTATTAGACGGACTCCCAGAATCCCATCCAAGTACAATCCAGGTAAGCACCATTTCACAAGCTGCCTCAAGTATTGGTTCACCTCCAGCCTGCTCGTGATGCGCCTAAGCCTGCTTTGTCTTTGGATGAAGCAGGCTTAGGCGCAGGACCAAGCTTCATGCTCTCCTCCAGAGATGGGGTAATTGTTCTTTTGACCCTGGTACAGTAGGTGTTTTGTTTGCAGCCAGCTCCTTTTCTGGTGAAAAACAAATACTTTTGGAGCAGTCTTCTCATTATTGGTGCTTGGTTGGTTTGGCTGGGGTGGCATCATGTGTTATGGCTACTCTGCCCAATTACCTTCATGTCACCAATTCTGCTTCAGTGGATACTTTGTGGGCAGATACAGTGTCCTTGGTTCCATGTTCCATGACATATATTTAGAACATAAGAACATAAGAATGAAGGTAACTGCAGAAGGCCTATTGGCCCATTCAAGGCAGCAGCTATTTATATCCACCCAATCTCATTCATATATATGTCTGACCTGCACTTGAAACAATCAAGGGATCCCACTTCTGTTATGTAACGCAGTAATTGGTTCCAGAAATCAACAACCTTATTACCGAACTAGGATTTACCCAGGTCTTTCCTAAGTCTAAACTTATCCAATTTATACCCATTGTTTCATGTTCTGTTTTGTGATAATACTTTTAATACCTTATTAATATCCCCTTTGTTATGTCGATTCATCCACTTGTACACCTCTAATTCTTTGCCTTTCTAGCAAATGTAATTTAAGGTTTGTCAATCTTTCTTCGTATGACAGGTTTCTAATATGGGGGATTAACTTTGTCATCATGACACTACACTACATTTTTCGTTCCAGAGTCGTTCTGGTTGGCGGACTGCCTGCTCTTCTCAAGGAAGCTCAGATGCCGTTGCAGGTTTTCCTGGGGGACGAGTTGAGCATCTCGATGTTTGTTTGTTTGCCCCTGCACTTCTGCGGGATGTTGGGGTGCATTGCCCTCAACTGTGCGTGCGTCGTCTGCATTGTTGACGCTGTTTGCGCCGCTTCTGCGGCATGAGGTTTCGCAGGTTTTTGCTTCTTGACTTGTGTGTCGACAGGCAGTGCTTGCTTTTTCCTTGGAGTTCGCTTGGCCCCTGGCTCTTCTGATGTCTGCACTTTTTCGTCCGCTGCTATTTGCAAAGTCTGCAGTTGTGCAGTGTCTGCAGGCGGCTTCATCTAGTTGCCGTCCTCGGTCCGGTTTGTTGGTTCTCCAGGGGGCTCGTGGGTGCACGCCTTCCTTCCCGGAAGGGTCGTGCCAAAGCTCGGGGTTCTTCCTGTCGTGGTAGGCCAGTGGTGCCAGATTCTGGGCTGGCGCAGCCTTCGGTTCCGTCTGTTTCTGGTCAGCAGGGGGATTGCCCTATACGCTGTTTAGGGTCTCATAAGGTGCGTCAGTCCTTTCACGGTTCGTTTCATTAATGGGGCAATGGGGAAAAGGCTCGCTCTGTTCACTCGCGCCTGGTCCCACGATTTGTGGGCGTTGTTTCGTGCGGGTTGCGGTGGCGTTGGGTGGCTCCTCCTCCTTCGGGGGGGAGGGGGGGGGAGGGTCTGGTGGGGGCGGGCCTCTTCTCCTTCGTTCTGTAGAGTCCTCTTGGAGTGGGTTCACTTGGCCGTGGTCAAAACCACCTCATTTCTCTGGTGGGTTCTCGCCTGTTTCCGGCACCGACACGGGGCTGTGCGGACCTCCAGTTCATTCTAGTCTATTCCCGTCTAGACCCATGGGTTTCTTGCCCCTCCTATTGAATGACTACTGTCTCAGGTCTGTCTTCTGTTGGAGTCGGCAACTTGGATGGTGTTCCTCGACCTCTAAGGCACGTATTGGCTTGTCCCAAATCATCCAGGGGTTCCGGGACTTGGTCGGTTTGGTTGTGGGGCGTCCAGGTTACCACCTTCGTTGCCTTCCAATCTACTTGTGTCTGGTGCCTCGTGTTTTCACACACCTTCCTCGGGTCGTGGTGGCCCGCCTGCATCTGTTAGGTGTTCGGGTTCTGGCCTCCCTCGACGACTGGCTGGTTTGGGCTCCCAGCCGGTCCGCGTGTTTGCTTGGTTCTTTCCCGGCTCGCCGGGTTTGGGTTCCTGGTGGCATGGCGGAAGTCCCATCTGGTTCCCTCTCAGGTTCGGGCTTAGCTGGGTCTTGTGTGGGACACTCGGACTGCTTCCTTGTCTCTTCCTCTGGCAGCTCTGCTTCGCTTGCATTCCTGTCTTCGTCTGTTTCTGAGGGGCTCCTGGGTCGCTCGGGGGTTTGGGTGAGAGCCTGAAATTTGCCGTAGTGGTCTACCCACCGGGTTGAGTGTGGCTTTGTCGGCTGTTCTGGTTCCTTCAGCGGACATCCCTTACCCTGTCAGCCTCTCACAACCGCTGGGTTCGGCCTCCGGGGGCTTGGCGTTGGTTGCTGCATCACCGGCTTCCTCTTCGTGTATTTCGGGGTTCAGTGCCTTGGCACCTATCCGAGCCCTCGCTCAACATGTTCACAGACACGTCGTCTCTGGGCTGGGGCTTTGTGACCAGTGCTTACCAGACCAGGGACAGTGGACTCTGTCCTTTCGTCGGGCTCATAGCACGATGCAGGGGTTCGCGGCTGTGTGGATTTCACTCTGGAGGATTCGGGTCGCTCGTGGATCGACGATCAGGCTCCATTCAGTCTGTTCCCCGGTGGTTCATTGCCTGAACCACGGGGGGTTCACTGCGGTCCTTGATTTTTTGGGGCTGGTCGCATTGGGTGACTCGTCTGCTGAATTCTCGGGTTTTGGCTCTCCTGGTGGTTCACATTCGGGGGGTGTACAATGTCCTGGCGGACGGCCTATCCCAGTTCATTCCCTTTTCCACGGAATGGACGGTCGACGCTTACTCATTCAGTTGGCTCTGCCGGACGTTCGGGCCTCCAGAAGTGGATCTTTTCACGTCAGCGTGGTTGAGGTGTCTTCCAGTATACGTGGCGCCCTTCCCCAACATCGGGGTCGATGCCTTCAGGCAGGACTGGGCGAGGTGGTATACCTATACCTCTTTCTCCCGGTTCAGCTGTTGCTCCAGGTCTTGGCTCGCTTGGAGACTTAACAGGGAAGAGTTGTCCTTCTGGCTCCTTGGTGGCCGGCCCAACCTTGGTTTCAGGTGCTGCCTGCTCGGTGGTTTTTCAGTACTGTTTTTTTACTCCTGCCATCACACTGAGCATAGCCTATGAAATTTCAGTCGCCACGTTTAGTCTAAACTTACATTCCACACACTGTGATATGAGTAGTACTGTAATTCATTGTTCCATACCACCCTTCATTCATTTACAGGATACTTCTTTCATTCTTTCACTCGTGCTCTTGCAATGTTTACATCATTCCAGTCTTTAATCTTGCTCCTTTCAGCTTTGTTTCACATAAACCTTGTGCATCAAATCTGCTCTCCTTATAAACTCTCACCACTTCCAGCTTGCTTAATTTTGTTGTTTATTCCTTTTAACATTCCACACTCATACAAGCCTAACTTAATTTTCTAGGAATTAGCAAGGTGTGCCTCGCACTGCCAAATCCAATTTTGCCCTTTCTGGAAAGGAATTTGAGAAGGTGAGTCTCCAGCATTCTATATGATCAAAAACATATCACGGGCTTAAATCACAAAAGTTGTGTGTTTTGTGAAGTTAGAAAGGGAATGTTATAAATTAATTCTGTTATGAAACTTTCCATTGGTATCATCTACAACTCGAGCAGCACAGTTAAACTTTAAGCATTGTCCTCCCATTAGAGGAAAGTGTACAGTGTACTATTTATAGGAATAACATGAACACTATGTTCTTATATAAGTATATTATATGAATGGCTGTCTTTGTTTATAAAATGTGAAGAAAATGCTGTATGCCAGATGTCATTTCTGTATTTTAGTAGCACAGTGAATATTTGAAAATGACTCTTGGTGAATGTACTGTTTAACAAAGAGTTGATCTGGACAGTTTTATGGCTCAGTTGTCACAAATAGTATGAGTCTTCACATTTACTGATGTTTGCTCACTTTATCATGGATGATAATTTCCAGTGCAAAATGTGTAATACAAGTTTTTATAAGGGCGAGTGTATGGAAATCTTTTAGCATAAATGTTTGGAATGCTAGTTCTTTGTACTATTTATGTATTTTAGCTTCACAACGGGTCATGTACTAGTTGCTTTAGTGCCAAGAACATGATAAACACTGGTATTACAGTAGACATGTCTCTGGATGTACTGCAATCCTTATTGACAAATGGTATTAAATATTACTTAGGTTCTTCTTCTTTGTACAGTGGGATACAGCACACTTAATGCAAATAGTTGCAGAGTATTTGTTGTGAACTTATTAAAATGTGTGTAAAGTTGTGTTTTGTGATCCCATTGTGAAAGTCATGATAGATTTAGATCCTAGGTAGGTGCTACATTTAGATGAACAATGTAAAGATATGTGCAATATAAATGCAAACTGTTACCTTATAATGATTATGATGAATTATTTCTTGAATGGAACTGTATGTTAGTAAATATTTTTTTCCAGGTACACCAAAGTGTTTTGCTAAAGAAATTTGAAAGGCATGTCAGTTTACTGATTTTAATGAAATTCAAAACCATCTTCGTGATGGGGAGTTTGGGGTCAACACTCTTATTTTTGTAATTCCACTTCTGTACTGTACTAACTTGTTTATCTGCTAAACAAAATTTCCATGAGCACATATGTACATGAAGGTGTAGCATGAACATGGGAATAGGCATCTGTACTCACCTAGTTGTGCTTGCGGGGGGTTGAGCTGTGGCTCTTTAGTCCCGCCTCTCAATCATCAATCAACTGGTGGGATCTGTGCACTAGTGCTGGTGGTTCTTGGTGCAACTGAGATTGTGCATCTTCAGCTTTCACTTCAAATTTTGTAATATGGGTCATGAGATATTGACTTTTGTAGAATCAATAATACATAACAGTATGGTAGTTATATGCTGTACTTTCTCAACTTGCTGATAAAATTTGTCAAACATCAAGAACATTTTAGCTCAGTCTTCCCACTTTCTGTGAACTACTTTAGAAAATTGTTATACAGTATGATTGAGCTCAGCTCACTGATGGCTTAAAACCTGTCACTGGGTAGAATTATGTGCATATTTCCAATAGTATTGTCATTTGAAAGGTGTGTAGTTGGTTTAATTTTAAACTTGGTGATTAGGAAGGAATATAAGGTCCATGTGCTGGAAACAGCCTCAGCTTTAAGAATCTTATGTGTGCCATTTTCCAAAAGTATAGTGTATGATAGGCACAGTAGTCAATTTTATGGCCATTTTGTTTTTATACACAAGTTGCACATGGCTCAATTCCTTGCTGATCACTGTACACTTGAGGTGTATTACTTGTTAGGTTCATACTGCCCAATTCTACCTTGTTAGTTGCTATAGGTGTTCCAGTACTGTATGCATTTGTTATAAAAATAAATGTCTGAATTATGTTAATGTTTATTGCCCTTTAACCCTTCAATTGTGCATAGCATCTAGGGTTGCTTCATTGGTGGTGTGCACTGCTACCAAGGATACTTTTAGCTCTATCATAAGAGTTAAAACTCCTGTGGATTCATGGGGGCTCACATCCTCTTCCTCATATCTGCAACAAAACAGGCACCATCTTGGGAAAAAATACTGGGCACCCCTCCTGTGTATGAGGGCCTCACTTCTAACACAACCTACATTGGTAGCAATCCTGCTAGTGATCATCTCAAAGTGAGATAAACAGAGACAGCACACAACTACAGTTTCCTGCCTCTGCAAATTATGTAATGGGACCTCATATTCGTTTAAAAATTTAATGTGAACAATTATTCATAATCAGGATTTAGTGACTGTGACCAGTGATCATGAATCAGTGACATCATAATATTTCCTCTCTTCACTGCCAAAGTATATACAATTATTTCTGGAGGGAGCCCCTTGTGCCTCCTTGAAGATTATGGCTTGTAGCTTTCTGAGATTGCTTCATATCGAAGGGTCACATTAGTCATGAATAGTTCTGTTTGGCCTACTGGAGACCAGAGTCAGAACCTGGCCTGCTCATAAGAGGCACAGGGAGCAAGTGACAATCTGCCACCTCACCAGAAAAAGCCTCTCAAAGTTGGCACAGCTTTACAAACAACTGGAGGGTTCACAGAAAATAAAGCCTTCAAAACTGCTAAACAAATTCTACAAATGAGTCACACTGAACAAGGGATTCACTTAAATGAGCTTGAAACTTGTTAGTAAATATTATCACCACCAGGCAGCCTGGCTCCATCTCCCAGCTGGCTCCCAAAATCAATTTTGTTCTTGATGTTGATGTCTCCTCACACCTGCTAGAAGTGCTTATGGTCATAGCAGCTTGTGGGCAAACCACAAAGCTTCAAGCTAAATGCAGGCCATCCTTAGACTTGGTTGTCCTGTGGAAGCCATTTGTTTTAATGTATTTGTATCCTATTTAAGTGTAGGTTTCATGTGCATGATTTGGTTCTGGATTGTTGTGTGAGCTTGGCTCATTGGGAGTTTCAGGCTGCATGTACCCAGGTTTTCTTTCCTGTTTGCCTGCAAATGTTGCCCATGCACTGCCAGTGTTCCTGTCTCTGGTGTGTATGGGGAAGTGCCCCTGTGACGCCTGTCCAGCAGGGTGTGGGGCCTTGCCTTGGACTATTCGGGAATCTTGCATTCCTCTCTTTGGCACTGGGGCGCACTGGGATTTGTGCTTGTAACCACAGTCACCACCTGTATCCTGATGGTGACCTGATCAACCATGCTGTGATTCATATGTCAGGCTGCAAGCAGCTGCATCAAACAGCCTGGTTGACCAGTCCAGCAGCGAGGGGGCCTGGTTGATGATTGGGCCGCGTGGACGTTAAGCCCCGGAACAACTCCAAGGTGGTGATGTAGATTGCGGTTGGTGTCTATTAATCCGGCATGTGGCCCTAGTGCCTGTGATACCTACTAGGCTTTATTCCTTCAGGCCCTTGGAATTCCTTCCGGGTCTCTGATGTAGTCTTTATTGGGGCGGCCTGTTGAGTCCGACTATGCTATTTGTGAGTTTGAGGATACTCATCATCTCTACTCTACCCCCAACATGCTGCCTTTTGGGTCGGTGATGTTTACGATTCAGAGCCCTGTGAGGTATGTTCTAACTGAGTCTCAGCTTTAACGAATTCAGTCTTCCAGTTGGAGGCTTTCCAGTCAGCTGCTGCTTTACAAGCTAGGTAATCATGACATATTGATTAACTGTCCCAGGTTCAGACTTGGCTGGATCTCGTTTGAGACACTCGGTCGATGTTTCTTTCCTTGATTCTGGTGATGTTGCTCCGCCTGCACCTTCATCACCATCTGATATTGGATTGACCCTAGGTGACTCGCCTGTTGGTCGAGCAGTTGTGCTGGAACCTCAACTTTACCTGAATTGTTTTCTCCCTGGGCAGAGTTTGGTTCTGGGCATTATATAGATTTCTTGTTCCACCCTTTCCTCTGCTCCTGGAACCAATGGATTTAAGCAAGACCTCCCTTTTTCTGGGGGGAGCCCTGTCAGCTCCCCGGAGCTATCCCAGGCTGATATGCTAATGTCAGACTTTGGCATTAGTCGTGTATATGGAGTTCTTAGGCCTACCAGGGACCACGGCCAGAACTGGGCCCCCTCAGAGAGGCAAGGGAAGCAATGGCCTATAGAAACCCCCATGTGGTTGGAAGCATTCTCTGTCTGCCATTGACCGGATCAGGCACCCAGAAAGGTAAGTGCCCCAAAACAAACCCCTATTCTGGTTAAAATTGCTACCAAAAGCCGAACTAGTAGTGGATAGAATTCCCCAACAGAAAACGAGCAAACTAGTATGACATCACATGTCGCCGCGCCGCTGTCTGCGCACCCCCCCGCTTCCCGGGAGGGGGAAGGGGGAGCCACAGACCTTTCATGCCGGCTACCCACACATCAGTTCTTGAGGCTGATGCTATAGGCGAAGGTCGTGTGCTCTGGCTCCAGTGTCGTTACAGCACTGTGCTTCGTGTGTGGCATTTGTTTTCTGTGGGTGCGAGAGCCAGGAGTTACAATATCTTCAGTACTTGGGCTACATGCGCCTAGGGCTGCCTTCCCTAGGTGCCCTGTAAGTACTGCCCTTGGGGCTTGGGGTCACCTTCCACAGGCTCCTCGGGACCTGCCTCTGCTAGTCCGTTCTACCGTTCGGCTTTTCAGCCACATGTTGGGCTCTTGGGTGTTCTGCTCTCCCTTGTTACCTGCGGATAAGAAGCCCCTTACCCTGCGCCCCTACCAGTTTGCACTGGTAGGGGTGCAGAGTGCAGCGCAACTTTGTATTCCCAACATAGCGGGCGGCTCTGTTCCTTGGGGTTTGCTGTCCTCTTGCTGGGTTTTGGTTTTCTTTTTGTTTTTGCCTTGGGGAGGGGGGGGGGGTTGGTGCTGCCCTATTATTCCACTGGTGTTTGCCCTTCCACAATTCTCCGTGGTGGCGCCCCCCCTGCTAGGTCCCTGTGAGTGTACACATCCCTGGGGTTCAGCTATAGAGCTTTGCTTGGTAGTTTTGGGCACCGGTTAGCTGCACCCTGCCTGGGACTACCTGAGCGCGAGTCATCTTATAGTAAACGCTCAGAACCTTGGGAATCCCCTAGGGGGCGCGTGGGTTCAATGGATGTGACCCCGGAGTCCCCGCTCGCTTTGTGCGAGTTTGAGGGTTGCTCGGTTCCCTTGTCTCAGGGTGACCCCCATTGATTTTGCCTTTGTCACGCTGCCTGTTGGGTCGGCGATACTTTCGTCCCTGAGTCCTGTGAGTGTTGCTGCTTGCTTGTGACTCAATTTACCCAATTCTCTGATGATTCTATTCAGGTACAGGCAGCGCGTGCGTTCCAAGCTAGGTTTTGACTGTTGCAACGCACTCGGTTGGTTGCTCACCCGGATGCCCCGGGGCTGCCCTGCTTTGCTTTTAGAGACCCAGACTTGGGGGCGGCGAGGATCGCTTCGATCCTGGTTCAGTCTGCACCTCCTCGTCCTTCCCCTCCTGTTGTTCGTTCTGGTTCCCTTCCCCTGCTTCCGGCTCCTAAACGTCTGAGGGTTTCAGAGTAGGAGCAGTGGTTACTTGATCTCGAGACTCGGGGCAGCTTCGGGGGATGCCCCTTCCGGGGGGATGGCGGAGGCTTTCGAATCTTGTTTCCCGGCTGAAGCTTCTGGGTTTGACCAGTGGGCCCCCTTTCTTCCGGCTTCTACGGCTGCTCCGTTCTTGTCTTGTGAAGGACCTCGTGGCTGGAGAGGGGCTGACTTGGGGGCCTTGGGCCCCGCTGGACCCCACCTGGGTTTTTCTTCCCTCTGAGCGGGGCTTATTGTTACAAGGAGTGGGGTTTTCTTTTCCCCCCTCTGCGTACGAGTTGGATTTGGTGTCGGCCCCTCCCCGGGTTTGGTTCCGTGTTCCCCAGGGTACATCAGTTCCATCTTTCTGTTTTTTTTTGGCTTATCGCATCCAACCTGGTGTGGTGCGGGAGGCCCTTGCAGTGTACCTCTTGCATGACCCGGATTATGCCTCAGAAATGGATCCATCCGAATTCAGGTTTGGGACTTCGTTCCCTTTCTGGCTCCGTTATGAGGTTCCGGAGTCTTCCTGGCTAGCGGACTGCCCTTTGTTTGTTTTGGATTCCTGGCATTCCTTTTGTCGTTCCTGCACGCTGGAGTGGCGGGAAGCTTCCACGGTGATACAGGTTTTCCTGGGGGGGCGATCTTGAGTACCTGAACGAGTGTTTGTTTGCCCCTGCCCTTCCCAGCAATGTGGGCATTGTTCAGCTCCATGTGCAGGTTCCCTCCCTTTCGGCGGCACTCGTGACGGAGGACTTGTGTGCCCGGGGCCTTTTGGCTTCGGCCTTGCAGTTTTTTTCCCTCCTGGAGCTGTCCTCGAATTGGCTCGTGGAGGATGTGAGGGCGCTTGGGTCCGTCCTGGGGTCAGGCGCCTTGTCCTTGGCAAGGCGTTTGTCGGCTGCCTTGTTGAAGCTTTTTGCGCCGATATTGCGGGATGCAGCTTCCCTGTTTTATGCTTCCCATCTCGCGTGTCGGTAGGCGGTGCTGGGTTTCTCTGTGGAATCTGCTTGGGCTCTGGCTCTTAGGCTGCTGTCGCCTTTTTGTCCTCTTCTGTTTGAGGAGTCGGCCGCGGCGAAGTTTATCCAGGCTGCGTTGTCGGCTTGTCGTCTGATGTCGGACTTGTTGGTTTTCCGGGGGTCCCGCGGTGGGTGTTCCCGGAAGGGTTCCTCTCGTCGTGGTAGGCCACTGGTGTTAGGTTCGGGTTCGACTCCTGCTTCGAACCCGCCCTTGTCAAGTCGGCGCGAAATTCTGGGTCTCATAAGGGGCGCCGGCCCTTTCGCAGTTTGCCCCATTGACGGGGCGATGGGGGGAGGTTTGCGCTGTTCACCCACACCTGGTCCCACGATTCGTGGGCGTTTCGGGTCGTGTCTACCAGTCTA